ACATTTGTCTAAAAAGATGGTGATCTTTCTGCAAAGTGGAGAGCTGAGGATGTCAACTACCTTGTCAATAGAGTACTTTGACTGAGCGTGTTTGTTTGTGTAGACAGTTCTTTGCCCATAGGTAATTATTACTGCATTAAGGATGCCCCACCTGAATATCTACAACTCTGGGCCAAATAAAGTGACAACTGGAACCATTCAAGGGCAAACAAAACTATTTATAAAATATTTAGAAATAAGAGATTCATTTAGAAGTGAGAAAGTGTGTTTGGGAAGACAAAGAGCTTCTGGTAAAAAATAAATAAATAAAAGCAATAACCAGTCCCATGTCAGCTCATTACCAGGGAGTAGCGATATCAGTGGTTGATGTTTTAAAACATGCTGTATGACGTGATGTGTGAATCATTGTCACGCAAATCAATGTGATCTTTCAAAGTTTCAAAGCTAGAAGAGAGTGACTATTGGACTAACACTAATCAGGTGGACAGAAACAGGGAGGAAAGAAAAGATTTTTAACTTTAAGAATATTATTTCTTTCATAATTCCTGCTGAAATGTAAAGGTTCGAGCCAGAATATCATAAAACTTAAGGTGCTTCACAGTTTTAAAAACAGTTGATTGAAAATGTAAAGCTTTGAATATATAAAGGACATTGTTGCTTTCTATCTCTTCCTTTGTTCTTTCATTAACACCAGAAAGAAACCTAAATGAAAGGATAATATGTTCATGTTATCTATCTTGCTTGCAATACCTGACGGGCAAAACTGCCACCATCATCACTCCACTTGTTGCAATATTTGTTTTGACAGCATCCGAACAACTGAAAACACACAGCATATAAAACCAACAATTAGGTGTGCATTAAGGAGGAACAGAAATAGGAGAAGGGCTGATTAGATTTGATGCACATGATAAATGTAAAAAATTCCAGAAAATAACTCATGATGCTGAGAAGCATTTTGCGATCATGAGGCTCTAGTTGGAAAGAGCCAATCCGCTCCGCATTCCTAAATAAAAGGAAAAACACACCCTGATGAAACACACAAACCGAAATCCCTCATCTGTTTTCTCAGGAATGTGCAATCCAAAAGGTGTTTTGCAATATCAACAACTCCTAAGAATAAATTTCTGACATCTTGCCATTTCCACTGCGCAAACCCCTCTTGCATTTATTTTTAGCAACAATCAAATTATAATTGTTGCTTATGGACTTTCAATTTTTACTCTCCAGATTATGAAAATTAGAGCAAAAGCTGCAAATTACCTTCCACTTTAAAATTCAGGGACAAAAGAAAAGAACAAGAGAGCTTATTGCTTTCATTGACATCCTCTCTTGCATATGTGCGCACACACATACTCAGCTATGAAATATTAACACCTATGTGAAAAGACATGCGGGGTGGTGGAGAGCATTTCTGTTTGAGTGTGTGGTTCAGGGTGGCGATGGCTTAAACTCACCTGTTCTCTCTGCTGGGGGGGAGGATGAGCATGTCAGATAGATGGATAGGGAAGGCAGCTGTTATACACACACACATCCCCCACAGCATCCATGTAACCCCATGGGGATTAGGAACACCTGTATTCAGCACTGCACAATGAGCTATAGAAGCAGTTAAGCTATAAAGCCATGGGAGTTATTAGGGGATGGGGGATGGAGCTGGTTTGGATTAAGGGGTTAATGCATGCCAAACTGTCTTGACATGAAAATCAGACGTGAGAATGATAATATACACGGCGCGACAGAAAGAAGACAGAGTTGTCAGATAACTCCAGAGAGACGTGTCATGTAAGATGTGTACATGCGAGTGTAAACTGTTCATTTTGCAGTGTGTTAGCCAAACAGGTGTTCCCATTAACAAGTGAGCTCCGAGGGGGGATCGGGAGGAGAAAACTGGCAGAGAGAACTAGAGACAGAGAGATGAATGGAGTACAAGGTTGCTAACAAGGAACAAATGTGTCTTTATGAAGCATTTCAGCAACTTACTGTACTGCTTATTGTCAAGTCATCTACATAAACACACACACTCTTGTGAGGGGGTAGTACACTACATCCCCGGGGTTTGCGTATAGCTGAAGCAGACTAACCTGCTACCACACAGTTCAGCCCACAACCTGCATGGCAGCACCGAGAACCACCTACATACCAGCAGGCTTATGCACACAGCGAAGTGTCACGAGCTTCAAACCTGACTACCACCCCAAACAAAGCCCATCCGTCTCATATTCACTGTAACAACCTCCACCACCTTCAACAAACAACAAACACCAAACGAAAAAACACTGGCTTTAACCAAGAAAAAAAAAAAAATAAGGCAAATCTTACTCACTTATCTTGTTTAATCAATTCTAAAAGGTCCATTCATGAGAGATAACACAAGTGGAAAAGTGCTTCAAATCCTCCTTTGCAATCCCACAAGCAGCTAATAATTTTTCCATCTTTCGGCCGAGCTCGCCTACACTCCTCCTCCACTCATCCTTGTAGCTGTTGTCTTGGTCTGTATTATATTTTCCACGCGGAACACACAGATGGAGAAGGTGCAGACACACACACACACACACACACACACACACACACACTGATGTCCACTGCTCTTGAAATGGTAATACTACACAGCCTCGCCTCAGGGAAGCAACCTCAGCGAGGAGGGGGGTGAAACCCACAGACACAAAGCATCCTGGGAGATGGCCCACACCAAGGTGCCATGGTGTGGCTGGCAAGTTTTCATGCCATGATAGTTGGGGATTGTCATCACTGAAAGCGGAGAAAAGCTGTATTCTGGACCGAATGTGCAGTCGGACATACATGCAAACACACACACACACACACACAAGCCTATAGTAATTGAATCACTGAATAAAAGACTTTGGAGGGTTTAACATGACAAGCACCGACCCTTAACTCTGTAGTAGGAAGGACAAAACAACCAGATAAATCCAGTGAGGCCTAAGACCATTTGGAAAAAAATCAGTAGATGGTCTCTTAATCCCAGAGATCCAGTTAGCCATTGTCAAACAGAGGGAAATGCTTAGATCTAACTGGCTTTTACAGCCATAAGCTGGAAGGAATCAATCAAGCTCTCTAATCTAATCTAAAAGTGGCTTGCTGGTAGACTGCAAAGTTTCTCAAACTATGCAAACAAAAAACTACAAAAAAAAAACATCATTCTGATATAGGAGGGTTGGGGGATCTCCTGCAAAATGTGTAGTGGTTTAATTTGTTTAAAGTTAGTACAGAAATGGCTGAATGTCTTCTCAGCTGGTGGCTTCCACAGTACATTTACGATCATCTCCTCAACAACAAGGGTTTACATCATATATCAAAGTGTAATCATTGAAAATCGTTAGTTTAAGTTTGTCTGGCATTGTAAAAAAAAAAAAAAAAAAAAAAAGTTTGGAAACCCCCCCAAATGCAGAGAGAATCATTAAATCAAGAGTGGCACGGGTACTTTTACAGATCATCTGATGAAAACACACCTGGCTGCAGGCTGCACTGGAGGTGCGCAGCGCTGCCTACGTGAATGGAGTGGGGTTGTTCCCCTTTCACAAGGTAAGCATGGTAGAAAATGGAGGAAGACGGAACTGACCGGTTTGAGGGCAGACACAGACAGCAGACACACACACACGCACACACAAACACGCAGCACGGGAGTCAGACAGAGAAGCGGCGAGGGAGAGACGCTTTCAGCTTCAGTCGCCAATAAACAGACAAGCACTTGACGCCACACTTTTTTAACTCTCACTGCGGATCATGAGGATCAGCGGCAGCTCAACAATTTAAAAAAAATACCCCAGAGCAGCATCTGCAAACAAAATCCCCCCCTGTCTTGTCTGGCACTCTAGGGTTGGGTGGTGTTGACGCAGCAGAAATTTCCAGCTGGAGAAATCCCCCTTTTGGAGGTTAATCGAGGGGAGAAGGAGGAGGGTTTAAGCCCTTGTCTTCCAGTCTCTGAGCACTTTAATTTTGAATCCCCTCCAGACGGCTGCACTGAGCGTCACCCGTATTTTATGTGTCACGATATCTGTGCATGACAATCCCCCCACCACCCAGCCGATGTGGCAATGGGCTGTCACGCTGCTCAAAACTTTGCAAATTTCGCCAGGATTTCATCAAACTCGATCAGCTGCGATGAAACCCAACAGAGTATGGCTTAATGTGTCTGCATCTAAGTGTCACATAATATACTACTTGAGCGTATGTTGAGAGATATTTCTAAAAGTACACTGAAAATAAATGTGTGCAGGTGCATGCCATTCATTCAAAATAATATTCTGCAAACTGGAAATGGATTTTCTTCCTGCGCGCTGTTAACAACACAGACTACCGTTACAAGTAGATTTACAAATATTCATTTAGTCCACTAAATATCAAATTATATATTTCATTTTAGACCAGTTTCGCTGCATATTTTAAAACACATGCCCAGGCACATTAGAAAGTAGATATCAATCGCGTTTTCCACCCACTGTAAGACAACTGTGTCTATTCCCTAATCAGCTTCATAGTGTGTGAAATGTACGAATCCCGTGAACGGATGACAGCTTCTCAAAATATCAACTCGCGCAATAGACAGCTGGCTGTCACGTATGGAACAGGTAGGCGTACTTTCAGACCGTCGCCTGCTCACTCGGTCGGGCATTTAGCTGTCAAAATACACTCATGCTGTGGCTAACATGATGCCAATGGACTGGAACAGCGGAAAAGAAAAACAGACAGGCCTTCATACAGCAGCTTCTCCGATGGTCAACTATTATAGTGCCACGATTGCGAAGAGTTGCATTGTGTCATGTCTCCAACCTGCGCGCCCACCAACTATCAGCTCTAGACGCGATGGCTCCGTGAGGCAGAAAACTAATTGTTGACATGATATTAAAGGCATGGAAATCCTGCGATATCCGCCGCGTCTGAATGAAATCTCAAAACCCGTGAGCAAGGGAGCAGGGCTGAATGCTGATTGGGGTAAATAAAGGAGGCTACTACTAATATAAGGAAGTCAGACATACCTGTTACCCCATGGGGTCTGGGGTGGACGCGGTGTCGGTCCTTCGGAGTACAATCTGGTGTGACAGTCTGAGAGAAGAAAGGAGGGGATGTCCAAAGCACTAGGTACTGTCCTTCCTCTCGTCTGTATGCTTTTCTTTAAGTGTTATTCCCCCTGTTTTTCTCCCACTCCCCGCTCTTCTTCCTCCACCAGCCCCTTATTTCTTTCTCTTTTCCCTCCCCTGCTTTTCCGTGTCTTGCTATCAGGAGCCTCCCCCTCCTCCTCCTCAGTGCATGTCTATGTCTCTCTCCCCGTCTCTCTCTATCTCACTCTCCCCCTTACTCTCTCTCTCCGTGTCCCCGTATCTCCTCTCACTCACTCTCTCTCGCTCTGTCTCTCTCTCTCTCTCTCTCTCTCTGGGCAGAGTCAGGAAATGAGACAACGTGAACGCACATACACACCGCGCGTATCCATCTGATCTAGGACGAGTTCTCTTATCAGAAACACTCAGGCACATTCTGTCATGTGATAAAATAAGAAGAATAACAATAATACACATACTAATAATTAAGATATTTCTGTGTCATGATGTAAGCAGGGGGTTGTCATGAGTCCTGTGTTTCATGGGGTTTCTGGCTTGTGCGTCTGTTGCCATAGGGCTCAGTAAGGACAAGAGGCTTACTGTAACTTACCCCCTCTTGTGGCAACAACAGGAAAACACTGGTCAGTCACATAAAAAAAAGGAAGACTGACATTTACAGTTTGACACTGTTTGGCTGGAAAACACCTTTGATAGCCCTGTGATGTGTGGTATGCAGGCCAACTTTTGGCAAAAAATCTGGGGTAATTCCACTAAAGCCTGACCTCTCCCTTTCACATGTGATGGATTTTTCTTATTAGCCTACACAAAACTGAAAGTATTATCAGCACAATATTAAAGAATCAAAAGAAAAAATATGCATTGTATAGTGAGCGTGTATAGGAAAAATTTTAAATGTCATCAAGTACGCTGTGATGAATTTAACTCCTTTGAAGTTCTCACTCTTAAAGTTGGAGAGCTGCAACCTATCATATTTGTTATAATTTATCGCCCCCCAAAACCGCCTGGAGGATTTTTATCAGAACTTCCTGAATTTTTATCTACTCTGGTTTTAAATTATGACAGAATTGTTCTTTGTGGCGATTTTAATATTCATGTTGATGACCCCAACAATGTTAATGCAACTGACTTTTTAAATATGGCCACTTCTTTTAACTTCAAACAACATGTCAAAGGGCAAACACATAACCGTGGTCATACACTGGACTTGGTTTTTACCCTGTGTGTCAGCATTTTCTCTGTGGAATTAGTGGACATGACCATATCTGACCACAGATGTATTGTTTTTAGCTGCGATTCGTCTGTTACTCATGCCGCCTCACCAAGCTCCGTGTGTTGTCGCATCTTTAATGAACAAAGTGTTTCAAAGTTTTGCGCATTCTTTCAGAGCCAAAGCCAACACCTGTCTGATTCCAACACCAACAATCTGGTCGATCACTTCAATCATATCTGCTTGTCGTCACTAAATATTACTGCTCCTCTAAAGGTTAGGCCTACGTCTAAAGCTAGTAAGCAACCCTGGATAAATGACAGCATTCGCAGCCTCAAAAGGGAATGCAGGAAAGCAGAGCGCAGATGGAAAAAATCCAGTCTCCAAGTCCATTACCTCAGTCTGAAGGATTTATTAATTAACTACAATAAAATGGTTAAGGATGCGAGAACACACTATTTTTTGAACTCATTACTACACATAAACACAACCCCAGGTTTCGGTTTAAGACTGTGGATCAGCTGGTAATGTCTGCTGATGAAGGTATGTGCTCAGTCCTGGTACTCCTGGACCTTAGCGCTGCTTTTGACACCATTGATCACAACATCATGTTAGACAGACTGAGGCACTGGGTGGGGATCTCTGGTACTGCCCTAGAATGGTTTCATCCTACCTGTCAAATAGGAAGTTTTGCGTGTCTGTAAACAACTATGTCTCTTCATTCTGTCCAGTTAAATATGGTGTGCCTCAGGGGTCGGTCTTAGGACCCATTTTGTTTTCCTTGTATCTGCTTCCCCTTGGACATATTATCCATAAACATGGCATTTCTTTTCATATTTATGCTGATGACACACAAATATACTTGCCCGTCAGATCCACAGACCCTGGAATGCTGAGTTCACTTAGCGACTGCCTTTGTGAAGTTAAAAAATGGATGTCAAATAATTTCCTCCAGCTGAACTCAGACAAAACAGAAGTCCTGGTCATCGGGTCTCAGCAGATGGCAAATCAAATACTGCCATCTGCTGGTTCCCTAGTAAATCACATTAAGCCTGTGGCAAAGAACCTTGGTGTTTGGTTTGATAGTAATTTAAATTTCGAGCAGGACACCACAAAGCTTGTTCAATCATGTTTTTATCAACTTAGAAATATAGCTAAAATTCGATCTATGTTAACTTTTAAGGACACCGAGACCATTTTACACGCCTTCATCTCATCACGCCTGGATTATTGCAACAGCCTTTTCACCTGTTTAACCCAAAAATCTATTGATCGACTCCAGACTGTCCAGAACTCAGCTGCCAGGCTTTTAACCAGAACAAAGAAATATGACCACATTACTCCTATTTTAGCTTCATTACACTGGCTCCCAGTATGTTTTAGAATTGACTTTAAAATTCTATTGATCACTTTTAAAGCTCTTCATGGCCTCTCGCCTTGTTATATTTCTGACCTTTTAGTCCCATACGCACCAGCACGTACCTTGAGATCCTCGGGCAGAGGTCTGTTGTCTGTTCCAGAGTCTCGACTGAAAACTAAAGGGGACAAAGCGTTTGCTGTCAGGGCCCCGAGGCTCTGGAACAGCCTGCCCGAGGAAATCAGGTCGGCTGAGTCAGTGAACTCTTTTAAGTCCCTTCTTAAAACATACTTTTATAGGAGAGCTTTTCCCGATCTTATTTGACTTTATTTTATCCCTTTTATTTTATTGTATTTTACTAATTTTATATTAAATTTTCATGCTCTTATCTTTTTTTGTATTATTCTTTACACTTGTTAAAGCACTTTGTAACTTGTTTTTGAAAAGTGCTCTACAAATAAGGATTATTATTATTATTATTATTACTCATTTGCCCCCCCCCACCCCACCGTGACTGATATATGATTACATATTACATTGTTAATGTGGATGCATCAATTAATTAAGCAGCATTTCATTGTACTTGGAGTTTAGTTTCTAGTTTCAAAAACTTCACATAGGTTAGGTAGTTTAGTCCGGGGGTCAGTCCCCTACAAAGTGTCACAAGATAAATCTGAAGGGTCATGAGATGATTAATAGGGTTGGAAAGCAAAAAAGAGGTTATGCCACAAACTTGTATAGATGTTTGTAATCTTTTTTTTGTAAAATATTACATACCTGTTTGGGAACAGGTTGAAACTGTCTGAGAAGTTTAGCAGGGAACTTTTTAGCAGGGAACTGCTTACAACTTACAAACATCTTAAATGTGACAAGGGGGCTCAACTAGACACTGTTTTATTTGTAGCCAAAACGATTGGGAGCTACTGGTTTAATCTTTGACTCTGTATTGTATTATATCAGTTTATCACATGTTTTTTTATTTAAAATCGTAATCTAAATAGTAACTTGTAAATATAGTAACAGAAAAAAGTATCATTTTGTCCTCTACAATGTAGTGGAGAAAAAGTATACAGTAGCGTAAAACAGATATATTCAGGTAAAGTATAAGTGTTTAAAAAATTTCTCTTAGTAGCCTATTTGAACCAATTTACATTGTTGTTGTCAGTGAGAATGAATGTGTGTGTGTCACTGTCAGTTCATAGTCCACCCTTGTGTGTAATTGTCTGTAGTAATAAGGAACTGTGGAGGGGCTTGTTTCTTAGGAAATAAGAGTATAGTTTGAGGAAGTGGGAAAAGTTTATGGGGAAGAGAGCGGGTGGCACAGCAAAACATGTAGTGTGTGTGTGTGTGTAATTGTTGTCTGTGGAGAGAGTGATGTGTGGCATGACACAGCAGGGGGTAGAGCTGTGCCTCCGTCAGTCTGGGTAGTTGGCTGCCGGGGGCTGGATAATGGAGAATGTCAGGCCATGTGGATTAAGGCTGTAGAACTGTAATGCCCAGCTCTCTCTCTCTCTCTCTCTCTCTCTCTCTCTCTCTCTCTCTCTCTCTCTGTAGGGTCTGCAAACAGAATCCTTGACTGAAACAAGCTGCTTTACTCAAAAGCCGTACTCCCTCATGCCAACGTGGCCTTACAATCCGCCTGACATGACAAGCATGACCCCGGCCTCCCCCTACACCACCTCCTCAGCCCCCCACCCCTGTCTCTCCCTCTCTTTCTCTCTGTCTGCTCATGGATGGGTTTAGGCATCATTAGGCCACTTACACATGTATTGAGTCCTAGGAACACTCATCACAGCAATCCACTCAGGAGTGAGACTAGTGGTGAGAATTCTGTACGACGATGGTTTTGTGCCTCTGTGTGTGTAGTACTTATGTGCACAAAGAGTCCTTGAAACACAAGGTGAGGGGTGTGTTGCAGACTTGTGTGTTTGCATTGAGGAAAGGGGGTCAGTGAAGGGGGTGTCAGAGTATCTGAATTGCTGCTTCCCCAAAGGGACAGTCACTCTTCTTCTGTGTTCTGCTGTTGGCTTAAAAAATGAAAGTAAGCATGTTGTTTTCACTTTAAAGTGTGCCACTGAGGCCAGTGAGAATGCATAAAAAACAGAAGAGAAACTTCTTTGCTCAGCGGAGGGAGTGAGACCAGGTCAGTTCGTGAAAGATTGTGTTTGAATAGCAGCAAAGGAATGGCGTACGTAAACGCACTTTAGGAAAACTTTTTGAAGTCAAGCCCCCCTGCTGAGGAACGCAGCGGCAGAAGTGGTCAAATCGAATTAAACAGCAAAAAAAAATCTACAACTGTCATAAAAATAGCACAAGGCGCTTTCAAAGCCCCATCCACTACCCTTCACTATCAATTTACCAAGGGGAACAGCTGTGTGATGCTTGTGCCATCCTAGTCCTGCTTGTATAGAAAGCAGAGCCTGCAGCAGAAAGAACGCTATCTCTACCAGGTACAGGCAGGGGATGGGGGAAGGCTTTACAAAGGAATATTTGGCACAAGGTGTGAGACAACAATATGTGTGAAGGTGCAGCTTAGTGATACTCAAATCAGTATTGGGAAACGACAAGGCTTTTATAAAGAGTCCTCCCTCAGAGAGAAAGAGCAAATTAGGAGTATGGGAACCAAGTGCACTGATGGTAGGAAGGAAGAGAGGATGGAAAGGATTGAGGGGCAAGAG